CAGGCATCCATCTCCTAAACTCCAAAGAACCCCATAAGACTTGCAACCTGGAGAGCAATTGGCAGCAGAAGCTCCTCATGGGCTCACCTCTCTGAACCTGTTCCCAAGACCCCCTTTTCTCTGAATTTCCAGAGAGCTGACCACAGCCCCACCTTGGTTCACTTCTTTCCCATAATGTTTCTGAAGAGCCAAAGCAGCCCGGCCTAGGCTCTCTGCCATTGCTTGTTCTACCCTAAAGCCCTTCCTAGTCTCACTGTCCTCAGCTTTGATAAACATACTCTAAAAAAAAGTTACAGAAAACCAAAAATGAAACAGCAAACTCTGAACATAGTAAGAGTAATAGGTATGCTTGTAAGATATGTCTATAAATCTGCCCAAGAAAGCCCAGGGAGAAAAGTTCATAATCACTGAAGTGAGTGAAGTGTGAGCTTCTTATGACCTCAGGATGGTGCATCCTGACACTGTTACACTGCACTGTGCCTAAGTAAACAGAGCCTGAATGTGAACTTGGCTTTGACTCCAACATTAGTGACTTCATTCAATTGGAGTAAACATAAACCCATTTTACTATGACAATGTGGCATATCACGAAATATTTGAAAGGACTTATGAACTTTTCCAAGAGAATCACACACACACACACACACACACGAGAGACGAGAGAGAGAGAGAGAGAGAGAGAGAGAGAGAGAGAGAGAGAGAGATGCTGAGATTTCTGCACCTAGTCTTTTATGGATATACTAGAGGCCCAGTGCACGAAATTTGTGCATGGGGGAGGGGGTCCCTCTCAGCCCAGCCTGCACCCTCTCCAATCCGAGACCCCTCGGGGGATGTCCGACTGCCGGTTTAGGCCCGATCCCAGGTCTAAACCGGCAGTCAGACATCCCTCTCACAATCCTGGACCACTGGCTCCTAATCACTCACCTGCTTGCCTGCCTGGTCACCCCTAACTGCCCCTCTGCCAACATGGTTGCCCCTAACTGACCCCTGCCCCCCGCTTCC